AACAGGGGAGACCGTCCCGAGTATGCCCCGAGTTTGCAGATCGTTACACAAACGATTCAATTGATTCAAAATTTTTTTTATACGTGTTACAATACTTTTTTCGGAAGCTCGGGTAGATTATCTCATCTTTTAACCAGGTCTAGTGTACTAAGCAAACTTAAAGCTTTCACTCTGCCCTATAACATATTATTTTAATCCCCGTTAATCCCACAGCTTTCATATTCAATTTATGTGACGAAGTTATATGTAAAAAAAGTATATTATGTGAGCTAAGTTTGCAAAATTCCATTCTTCCGAGTATAAAAAAATACACGAAAGTAACGAAAGTAACAATTAGAAAAGGTAAGGTGAGTGTAAACGTTGTTTTATTGCATAAAACTTTTTAAAAAACATAATAGATCTATATTACTACGAGTAATTAACTAACTTTATATTATTTTGATTTTATTTTATGTAGTTGTTTAAGTCGTTTAAATTTAATAGAACATAACTTAATAGGATATATGTATTAGATAGTAGAATAGTTATATGGTAGAATATTAAGCTTATATTAGATATAGAAGCGCATGTAGAGGCGAATACAATATATAGATTATTAAGATTTTGTCAATAATACTGTAATAATAGCGATAGTTAAAAAGTCTGTAAATTTAGTAAATAAACGATTCAGACTAATAAATATATGTTAATTTACTTTGTGACAATGTTTATCGAGACTTATCTTTGAACTTTGGATATAAATTTTTGCTTCGATTTTGCTTATTTTTCTTATTTTTCTTATTTTGAAACTTACGATTTTATTGGCTGATTTTCATGTGACATTACTTTAACATTCGTATAAATCTTTTTTTTGATTGGCTAAAAAGATATGCAAGGTCGGAATATCAATTTCCTTATTTGGGACGGTCTCCCCTGTTTCCCGACACACAAAATCCCGACACACAAAATCCCGACACACGAAATCCCGACACAAAATCCCGACACACGAAATCCTGATACATAAATCCTGACAAATTAAAATCCTGACAATACTAAAATCCTGACACCCGAAATCTCGATACACAGAATCTCGATACACAGAATCCTGACACTCAAAATCCTGACACACAGATTCCCGATACTCAAAATCCTGACATACAGAATCCCGATACTCAAAATACTGAAACACAGAATCCCAACACTCAAAATCCCAAAATCCTGAAACGCAGAATCCACGATACTCAAAATTCCGGCTAATTGTTTTTATTTTCCCTACCTCTACCGAAACACGGAATCTCGACACTCAAAATCCTGACATCAAAATCCAGACACTCAGAATCCCCGACACTTAAAATCCAGATACAACCAAAATCCTAGCAGAATCCCAATATAACCAAAATCCTGACACTACTAAGATCCTGACATTCGGAATCAAGTTTTTGACGCATTTAACTAATTTCTTCCTACATTTTCTATTGGTTGAAATTTTTTGATTATTTACATATCCTCGTTCTTTTTAAAATGTTACATTTTGGTTAGGGTTAGTACTCATGGCGAAAATTATTTTAGATAGTCTAAACCGTAAATAATTTATAATGGCTAAAATAATTCAGGTTGTAAAAATTATTTATATATTATAAATATTTTAGAATATTGAAAATATTTTAGAATAGCGAAAAATAATAAGCAATCTTTAGAATAAATAATCTTAAAGAAATAATTATATTAAATACTAGCTAACTGACACGTTCTTACGTCTGTTCTTTGAGTTATACGTACTAATTTTAATTATTTGTAACTGACCAATCAGATTATTATAAACTGAACAAGAAGAGTTAGTTAATTTACCAATTTTTAAATATCGCATCTATAGATGTAAAAAAAAGTAGATGTTTTAGTAAAAATCTTATTATTAGTTGCCCAAAAATGAACATACACTTAAAATTTTAATAGTGTAGTTAGGAGTCACGGGATATTTTATCATTATATCTAACGTCCAAATATCCAAGTATTCAGTGTCCAAGCTGTCTATAGTTTTAAATATTTTAGTAATAGAAATAAAAATTATATAATTATATTCTTTATTTAATTTTAAACATTTTTGCTTAAAAGATTTGAATTGGTTATCTTGAATAAATTCACTTTATTTTTTGTGCCTCAGATTAAAACTATTAGGCCAACATTAAAATAATCCTAACTCTAATTTAGGCCAGTTTTAATCTGACGCAAGTATTAATCTGAGGCACGACATACCCACGCATTAACTACGTTTCTAAATATTATAACACTTTTTAAAATCACAGACAATCAATAAACAACCAATAAGAACGAACTTCAGTCATGCTGTTTGCGCCACATTAGTTAATTCACCTGTAAAATAATATCGATATATTCAATCCAACTTTATAATTCTCAAGAATGGCAGAAATGGCAGACTCTCAGAAACAAAATGAATATGCTAAAAGTGTATTTACTAACAATTTACAAGGCCTGGATGCTGTAAGATATTTATATTTATATCTATTCATATTTATTAATTTACATATATATTCATATTTATTAATTTATATATGTTTTTACTAACGCGTTTCTTTAAAGTACTCACGCCATAAAAAGTTTATGAATAATTATGTTAACTTTTATGGTCGAAAGAACAATCAGGAAATGACAGCTAGTGCGGAAAAAGGATACAAAAGTGAATTTGATATATTGAAGGAGAATCACAAGTAATTGAATTTTAAAATAATCTTTTTTGATAAATTAAAAGTAACATTGGTTTTAAATTATGCATTATAATTTTTAATTTATAGATTCCTTCGTTCTGATGATGATGATGAATCAGAATTAACATGGGAACAACGGCTTGCAAAAAAGTATTATGATAAATTATTTAAAGAATATTGCATAGCTGAATTGAAATTTTATAAAGAAGGCAAGGTATATATTGTGTTTTTTTTTTTTTTTTTAGCAAGAAAATTTCGGAAGTATACTTAACATGATTTTAAAATATAGATTGCGTTACGATGGAGAACCGAAAAAGAAGTTATAATAGGCAAAGGTTAATGAACCATTGCGTTAATCTATATAAAAACACTGGAACATCTTATAATGATTAGTATTATATTTGAACATTTCATAATTTGGTATACTGTCATCATTTTTTTTTAGGACAATTAACTTGTGCCTCAACAAGATGTTCAGAAAAAGTTGATCTAAAGTCTTGGGAAGTTAATTTTGCTTATATAGAAGATGAGCAAAAAAAAAATGCCTTAGTAAAGATTCGACTTTGCCCAAAATGCTCTTACAAATTGAATTATAACAAGGTTCATCAAGAAGTGAAAAAGGAAGAAACATCAGAGGTCGAAGATAATGAACAGCATAAGCATGAAAAACGAAAAGAAAAGTCATATGATAGTCTTAGTGACCAAGAACAAGATGCTAAGAAGGCGAAATTAGGTATTTTTCATATATAAAGTTATCATTAATCTTTATTTATTTTATATTTTTATGTTATTTGTACAGTATATGCTAATTAAATTTCTTTAATTTGCGGTAGACAAGCAAAAAGGAAAATCTAATGTGAAGGGAAATACTCAACAAGATGAGGAGTTTGATAAATACTTCTCTGGGTTATTCGATTAGTTATTTGCATTTGCATTTTATTTGTTTATATGTAAAATATATGCAAACAATAAATTTTAATTTACTAAAATTTTTTATTAAAAAATTAAATAATTTATTATTTTTAGATTGTAAAAAAAATAGACAAATTTGCTTTGATAAAAAATTTAATTTTGTTAGACATTTATTTTTATTAGAAATATTCTTCTTATTAATTTATTTTAAAAAAACATTTGTATATTGTATAATACTTATGCAAAGGAATATTAATACACTTTTATATATAAATTATGTAATTATATATGTCAGAAAGTTAATAAAGAAACAAATAGCGAAATTTTATTTAATTTGGTTTTAATAAACTGTACTTACCAGTTACAGTAAGCTAAAAACCCTCCCATATTTCCTATTAAAGGTTGCGGAATTTAAAGAAATTCAACTCATATTCAGTACGGTAATATAAGTTATTTACGATTTTAATCACATGAAAACACATGACTTGATAATCGATAATGTAATTCGAAATTCAAGTTCTAATTAGAATAATAGTGTACAGTAAAAAAAAAAAAATGACTACACGCTTATATCAAATTGCCGAATTGAAAGGTATGAGCTCTTTTTTTTTTTATCGATTAATAATAGATCTATTTTCATTTCTCGTTGTATAATTCTTAGGACACACGGATCGAGTTTGGTCCGTTGCTTGGTCTCCTAATGGAAAAGTTCTCGCCTCTTGTGGTAGTGATAAGACAGTTCGCTTATGGGTTCCTACCTCAGATACTGAGTGGATATGTACCAAAGTATTAGAAGGAACTCATAAAAGGACAATACGAAATATTTCTTGGAGTCCTGACGGACGTCAACTTGCTACAGCTAGTTTTGATTCTATGATTGGTATTTGGGAACAAGAAGAAGGAGGGGGTATGCTTCGAATTAATTTTTAACCTTAAAAATTTTTTCAAAGATTATAAATACTCTTAATGTTTTATAGAATATGAATGCGTTGCTACTTTAGAAGGTCACGAAAATGAGGCTAAATCTGTTTCATGGGCAGGATCCGGGACATTAATTGCTACATGTGGTCGTGACAAGAGTGTATGGATATGGGAAGGTAATTTTTTTTATATAAGAATATCTATTTTAATATAAAATCTATTTCTCAATAATTTTTGATGAACCATATTAAAATAATTAGTGGGAACAGATAATGACTTTGAATGTTTGAGTGTACTTCAAGAGCACACTCAAGATGTTAAGATGGTTATATGGCATCCGACTAAAGAAGTAAACATTTTTTTAGAATTTAATTAGATCAAATTTACTTAAATAATTCATATTATTCTTTTTGGAAAAAAAATTAAAGATATTAGCATCAGCTAGTTATGATGATACAATTAAAATTTGGAAAGAAGACGATGATGATTGGTACTGTTCTAATACATTAGAAGGTCATGAAAGCACAATATGGGCAATTGACTTTGATAAAACTGGAGAATATTTAGGTAAGTAATAATCAATTTAGAATATTGTTAAAGTATTAATGGTAATTTATAATTGTATATATACATTAAATAGTATCCGTTTCAGACGATAAAACGCTTAAAGTCTGGCGTTGTCATCATCCGGATAATAAAGAAGGAATAATTACAAAT